AGAGAGAGAGGTAGAGAGAGGTAGAGAGAGAGAGAGAGAGAGAGAGAGAGAGAGAGAGAGAGTTAGTGATAGAATATAGTAGAGGTAGACACGTATGCCGAGGCGCACTTCTCTCGCCTTCCATTTCTTCGAGGCGCACACGCGTCCGAACCGTCGTCAGTCCACGTCGAGCATCCGGCTTGGCTTATAGGCTCGCGCAGCCGTACGATGCGGCACCGCGTCTAGGCGCGTCATACTGCGCCAAAGACGTCGCGACGTGCCTCGCCGCCGTTCCTGGCTGCGAAAAGTGACGACGACCCGTCGACCCGCGCCCCAGCTGCAATGAGGGAGAGTTGCGGAGTGCTCGAGGAGCAGCTGACGCCGGCCGGCAAGTCCAGGAACCGCGTCAAGGCGTGGTTTAGGTCCTGGCTCGCCACCGACAAAAGCTCCAGTGCGTTCCTCTGCATTTCATATTTATTGCTTACGCTCGGCAATTATGGTGCCCTGAGTCTTTCATTTTTAATTGCCGAAGCTTAGCGAGACAACTGCGAACAACCTGTGTCCTGCGGCACTTTTGACTCGTCCGTCCAATCGTTTGCCATTTCCGAGAAGCAGCGCAGGTCGTTACGAGCTGGACAAGGAGTTGCTTCGACTGCCGTTTTCTTTAGCTCCGAGTGCTTTTAAAGTCTACGAGCTCGCGTTTGATCTTTCGTTGTTGAAGTTTCGTTTCTTATGTTCACACTCAAGAATCGAAGAGCTAAGCTGCCGCGAAAGCAAAGTAATTCGTTTGAGAAAAGCACGTATGGATAGATTTATTGTAAAGTCTCACGAGCATTTTTCTACGTTCATATATAATGATGAAATGTAAAGCCGATGATTAATATATTTTTCATTATATATTATATATGGCTTGTTTCATTTGAATTTGAAAAATTTGAATCTTCGCTGGAATGGTTTAAGGAGAGACGAATGAATATTTGCTTGTTATAAATCTTAATCATTCGTAATAAAAAATGTAAGCAAATTTGTAGATAAAAGAGCAAAGGTTTGCGTAAATACAAATTAAATTATAGAACTTTAATTCCTACGTCGTTTTTTCTTATTATTTTAAAACATAAATGTAAAGTAAAATTGTTACAACTCTGAGATCAATACATCGTATAATAATATAAAATAGCAATCGCAAAAATTTTTTATTTGTAAATTATGGAAAATATTAATATTTTAAATAGGGGAAGGAGAAGAAAGAATGAGCGAGAAACAATAATCATAATTATTATTGTAACTGTAACAATTTATGCTCTTTTATATATCTGGCGTAAAAATTATATAATTTCTTTTTCTCCGTTTGAATAGAACTATACGTACTTATACCGTCATATCGTGAATTCTTCATAAAATGAAAACGTCCCGTTAAGGTGTTCGCTTATATATGTAGATTTCAAAATTATGAAAGTTGACTTTTTCATATAATGGTATTATTATATTGAGACAATGGATTATATATTAATTTTAATTATTATTAATTAATATAAATTTTTATTCAACAATTGTAATATTACATATACTAGCATTACATATTGTACATATTACAAGATGTATTATTTATTAAGGTAGTTTAATAAAAAAATTTATTAATTATATTAAACTCGATGATGACAAAAAATTTAATGGTTGATAGAAAACTAGTAATTTTATAGTACCAAAATTAAATCCTTACAGATAACGATTTGTTTATTGTATGTATAAATTTTTACCTAACGAAGAGGCTTCTTCGTCAAAATGTCTATACTCTCGCTCACCTAAAATAGCATAATATAAAAATCCATTACGTTCATATAATAGATTATTAGAAAATTGTAGTGAATCATTTTTAATCAATATATTTTGGATATTGCAACAAGTCAAATATTATCCAATATTCGCGTTATCTTTAATGTATACGGCAATAATGGCGGTATTCATTACATTAGCCTAGGAAAAATATAAAAATAAGTTATACATAATGAAGAGGAAGAAATATGTGTGATGCCAAAAACTGAATTCTTATCAGTTATAGCTTGTTATTCGCTATGATATTTCGCTTTCGATCGTTGTTTAAATAAGTATTATATATATATATATATATATATATATATATATTTTTTTTTTTTATTATTATTCCCCTAAAATAGCTTATGTCACGGCATTGATTAACTCAACATTAATATCGTCATTATCGTTTGACACAATAGATGATTAAACTCTTAATAGACTCCTACGTATATGACAACAAATCAGGCAGACTGAAATAGTCAGATCCGAGTCCGGTCTATTACAAAATACGCGTGCGTAACAAAAATTTTATAAAACGTCATTGGCTCGTTGAGAGTTTTATTGTTATAAGGCCGCATCATCCGGAGCTCCGAATAATGCAACAATCGCGACTTGCCGCATGCATCTCCTTAACGGACTATCGACAATGAAACGATCCCCTACGTGGGATTCTCGGCCATACATTCGGCAAGACAAAAACAAAATGGGCCTGTTCGTCTTGTTACAGATCGTGGTAAATCACGTGCTGCTGGAACGATTCGCGAGCCCGAAGAGATGCAGCGCTGCCCGTACCTGCACGAGATGAAGGAGCGTCTCCTGTCGCAGCCTACGCCAACGGACAGCCTGGACATGGAGCGTCTCGACGGCAACGGAGGAACGCCCATCAAAGATCATCATCATCACCACGGGAACAACGATTACGCGACACACGTCAGCGCCGGAGTAATACCCGAGCCGCCGGAAATGCCGCCGGATTCGTTGATCGGCACCGTCGTCAAGGTATCCAATCGCTCACGGACTCGCTCTCTCTCTCTCTCTCTCTCTCTCTCTCTCTCTCTCTCTCTCTCTCCGCGTATCTATCTACCTCTATATCTCTCTATATCCACAACTCTATCTCTACCTCTATCTATATCTCTCATACATATGTGTGCGAGAGGTAAAGTGATTGTCCGAGGGGACTATCGACTCTGACAATATCTGTATTGAAACTCATTAATTAAAGGTCAGTGTTTATTGCTTTAACGATTGTGCCAATCGAAAATTGAAACGAAATTTCGTAGCTCTGGATTTTTCCCGCTTCATCACTTTACCACACTTTTATGAACTTTTCAAATTATCACTAGAAATTTGCTCGATAGTTTGATAAACGCGCAAGAAATCGATGTTTGGATAACAGCATAAAGTAAATATCCATTAGAACTCTTTAAGTTCTAGGTGTTTGATTAGTGTTATTTCTTTAACGTAAAGACTGACCCTTTAACCTACTCATTTATAAGTTAGATAAATAATAAATAGTAGACGCATTAATTTAATATGAGCTCATTTCTATTATTGAAAATCAAATAAGATTAATTGTTGGTGAAGAGTTTATTTTATGTCTAAAAATTTAATGATATATCTATTTTCTTTCGCAGGCATTTATTTTATCAACTTTTTCAAGATGATGATTTATTAATAATAAATAAATTCTTGTTTAAATTTCATTGCTTGTCTATGATTAAATGATGTAGATGTTATCGATCTTTATCTACAATTAATCTTTATAAAAGGTAATATATTTGAAAAGAATAGTAACGACATTTTGAATACGTATTTAAATTTAATTACCTTTAAAACTTTATAATTGCAAAATTCATGTATTTCCATTATTATGTATAATTAATTATATTTGATAATTATACTATTCGAAGTATCCAAATTATTCAATATATTGCTTTTGAAATATCTGTTATTGAGCAGGACATTTTGAAAAATTGAACTGAATTTAATTAGTCTAGAAAATAATTATTAAAAAATATTAATATACTCAAGCATATCTTGTTATAAAGCTGTTCGTCGAAATATTATAAAACAAAAATACTGTAATATTTCAATATTTAATCATTTCAATATAAATTTAATGTATAAAAGTTGTATCGACAGCTTTGTTGCGATAAGAAACGTAGATTGATTAAAAAGAAAGTACTTACACCGCTTATACTTTTATAATTATCGATAAATCTCTCTGAAATCAGGCCATTCTTACGCTGGAATGAACGAGTCTATCTGCTTTTTCTCATATTTCTCACCGAGACATCATTGAATCAACTGGTCTATCGAGTTTTACCTTTGAGAGGTGATTACACACTTTAAAAAAAAAAAAATTCCCACAGTACGGAATGGAAAATGATGTTACAATGTCAAGTGTACTAACGTTATCATATTTACGCCTATGTGGCTGTACGTGAAATTTTTACTTTGAATTCTTCATTTGCCGGTTAAATGCTTTTCTTGATATATGAAGAGACTAAAATTTAACAACTATGTTTTTGTATTAGAAAGTTCTACACTTTCTCTGTACTAATAATAGTTACTAATTGAACAATACGGTATTATAATAGTTTCATAATGAATTTTAATCACACGTCACATGTACAGAGACGAATTTTTCTCAAAACTTCTACCGAGTAATTTATAATATTAGTAGTACTATCCTATCAACTTGGTGTTGAACATTTTATATAAATTGTTTCATTATTCGTATTTATATGGATTAAAAATTATTTGATAACGAATAATTAATTTTATTTGGATCTCAAACATTTTTAAAATCAAATACTGGCGTTATGAATCTTCTTTATATTATATGAATATTTATATACTAAGAATATTTTTGTATTAAACTTATATTAACATTTATAGTGCGAATAGAAAATAGATGTTTCCCTAAAAAGCTCACCACCCATACTATTATTCTATACATCAAAAGACGCATAAACAGATATTCTTATTATCCACTTTATGGACAATCTTGCATTATTAAGATGGTGAAGGGAGGAGGGGGGAGCGAGTTAATAATGAAATGAAGAAATATACTGCCACGGAATGAATGAGATACGCGTTAAAATAAGAATAACATCCACGCGTCGGCATCCAGATGCATAGGGAAAAAAGTAAAAATCAGAATTGGCTTGGAATGGTTGTCTCATGAGCGTGCGGTGACGTTATGGAGCTTTTGGCAGTATACAACAGTGCATTATTACGGCACATCAGAGCTTTAAGCTTTAAGAAATATAGAGACCCATGAGAATTACCTCTGTTTATTTCCATTGTCTCCTTTCACTACTTTTTACTGCTCTCTACAAATGCCGACATAACTTAGAGTTATGCTATGCTATGCGTTAGAGCGACAATATACAATATAAATAAAATTCAATTAAAAAAATGAATGACAATGTGTTCGACAATAATTTCATATTTATTGGTTTAATCAATCTCTTACTTATTTGGATAAAATAATCTTACCAAATATCATAGGATTTTGAAGATTTATATACTAGTTATCATTTTGATAATGGTTTAGTGACACGAAATTTAATAGAATTAATCTATGGAGCATAAAGGCACAATATAAAATCACAATAAAGTAAAAGTATCATTCATATTTCCAATATATAATTCACAATGATCGAAATTTAGAAAAATTTAATAATGTATTGTTAAAAAAATCAAGTAGTACGAAAAAGCTTATATTGTATCAACAATAATTTCTAACATTCCTGTTACGAATTCAAATTGTTATTGTTATTATATACATTCAAATAAGATATACAAGATTGAATTTTTCAGAATACTTAAAAGCATATACTTAATTTATGAAATCACAAATGATTTTGGGATATATCACTCACTACCAGTAAACATAATATGGTTACTAAGTTCATTATTGATTTACTCAATTCAGGCAACGTTGATTCGATTTTGCACAAAAAAGATTAAAAAAATTATATATAATATATTATTTAGAGATCTTTATTATTATAATGCGAGATCGAAAATTTTGTTGTTTAATTTGATTGTCAGAGTTATTAAAGAATTTTAATATATTTCATACCGCATAACGTGTTTTGAAAATTATTTATTTATTTATTTATTTAATCTTTTATTTATTTCCAAATTTGATTTTATCGTTTAAAAAATCGAGCAATTACAATAATTTTACAGGAATAAATTTTTGTCATTCAACTTAAATTTGATAATTCTAAAAAATATTTATAATTAATTATTATAATTATCACGATTATCTATTATGAGTGTAAGGATTAATCAATTATAATAATTAATTATATTATTAATCTGTAATATGTGTGCACGTCTATACATGTGTAATAAACTAGTAGTTAACTTTAGAATACAGAAATTTTTGTGTTATTCTGAATTTTACAGTTTTGAAATAAGTATGTTAAAATAACTGGTTTTTGTCTTTACAGTTTTTACAATTTTATTATTATATAAGGTGCAAGTCAATTAAATATCTTAAGACATAATATAATACGAATATCAAATAATTCAATATTTTATGCTACAGCTATTTTTAAAATATATTTTTGTAGGATTTAATCCTACAAAAGTTATTATATAATTAGATTATTGTAAACGTATTAATAATTCATTTAATGAAAAAAAAAAACTCCAGCCTTTCTCGCTCTTATGTTTTAGCTGAACTCGGATGGTTATGGATCTCATACGTCACCTGCGCATGTAAGACAACCTCTGGTGCCTCAAAATTCCAATAATCAGCCACTATGCCTCACACCCACGCATTCACCACCAATAAACAGTGATTTGCCGAAAAATGCCAAGTAAGTGCAAATTTATTGTGATAGGTTTTTATAAATGAAATATAATAGCATTGATAATTTGTATATTTTGAAAGTCAAATTATTTACGTGTCTACTCATATAATTTTCATATTTGTTATTTGTCAATGTCATCCATAGTTATTTCATTGAATTTACGTATTTTTCGGCTCATTTTTAATTTCACTATCTATTAGCATAAACTAAATATTTTCAAACTTAATATTTATCTATGAATACATGTGTAAATATTTATTTACGATAACATAATTTTATTACATGATTATAAATTCAATTTATTTCTATGCTGTCAATATTATTATTTTATTTTTTTTTTTTTTTTTTTTTTGTAATTTAAAATACTATAAATTTATTTTCATATTTACGTCGTATTTATATTTATATTTCTAAAATTAAGCAATTTATTCGAAATCTCAATCACGTTAAAGACGTTAATAAATGAAAATAACAAAAAATTATAATTCAAATTATATTCTTCGTTAAATTGTTATTACGGCTTGAATAAAACGGTAGTGGCTAATATAATAACAAAGATGACACGATGTTTGCATGAGCATAGCAACTACACATTTGACCAAGGATTTATTAAAGCTCTGTATCTACGAATGCAAAAGTGAAATTAATGAATTGTAAAATTAAAAGAATTGTATTTATTATGTTCTATTACCTTATAATGTCAAATGGAAATATAATTGTGATATTATATTAAATCATATTGATTGCATACGACGAGTTTATTATCCATTATAAAGCGATGGTTAACGAATTGACTATAAACTTCTCTTATGTCGGCCTTAGGCCAGAGTTCCCTTCGAATTTATCTTTCCTCGCCTCTTCTACGTATCCGAGAAAAATCACCGATCCTTCGGAACCCGTCATAAGTGCCACACTGTACGATGTCGTTGTCCGCAATAGCTCGTTCGTCCAGGGCAATAAATCTTACTAGAAATCCTGATCTGGCCTCTAGTCTCAGTATTTTCATTCTGCCCTTATGTTCCTGAATTATTTTTCAATTTTGTAACTGACTTGTTAACTAATACTAACCTTCGTATTACATAAGATACACATATTATAAAAATTGCAATTTTCGGCTTTCATCCTGCAAAATATTATTACTATTATTATTACAACTATTTCACAACGATTGTTCATCTAGTTTATTATTATCTAGTATAAATAATGAAATGCAATTCATGATGCTGGGTTATTGACTATTTTAAAATATTACAATTGTAAACATCTCCATCTAGCCAATTCCACGAGCGATTTTACAAGTAACCCAACTTTACCGTGACCATTTCTGTCTCAGTTTTACATTGAAGCTCCTGCTTCGGACAATCCAAGTATGATGAACAACTCGATTCAATGTCAAGTTGGAACAGGAATAACAGTTAGTCGAATCATGACTTCCTAGACCTGTTTTCCAGTAGCACTAGCTGTCACATATTCCGAGAGCCTTACACCTGCTATTCTCATTATTACTCTGTTCTATCGGAAATCACAATCGTATATGGGAAACGACCACCATAGCTTACGTCTCAATTCTTTAGAATACTTAACAAGCATAGTAAAATTATTTTACATTAGTCATTCCATACCTTGCTTTCATTTTATATTTAATTGATCGATGATCACTCACCTCAAAATTATCAATTACATAAATTATTATTCTATTGTACCCAGTCGTTTTCGAAGTCCCATTGATTGTATATTAAAATTCATAATAATGATAATAGTCAAACTTCGCATTTTGTTTAAAACGATTATTCAGTTATCATTTATTTTCATTTCCAACTTTTCATTGCAAGAATACCGCCAATTTCCGAAATCACAATATATTGCTAATAATTATGTATTATAAGGACATTTAATCAAATGCATAAAATTTTCTATAAAAATTAATGTATTCATATATTTACTAAAAAAATTTGTTTTATTATTACTTAAAAAAATTCAGAAATTCGATTGTAGTTATTTATATAAATAATCATTAAATTCTATGCGCTCAGACTTATTATACTCTAAAGAGAGAAACATAATAATTATAATTCATATTCACTATTAATATAATTCGGTTAAATTCCATTTAATATTAAGATTAAAGTAAGTTAATTTATTTAGATATTGTTTTCACAATATTCAACTCCACTGCTAAAGGTAGCTGTGGTTTTTTTACTTTATTAATTATATATCCGTATTCAATTTCTTTTATTATTTCTAATTATTTTTTCCTATTATGAAGTCCTTGCTGCTGATTTCATATAAGTTTACTTGCATTTTACTTGAATATTTTCAACATATGAGTAATAATTTAATTTCCAACTTTAAAATAAATAACAATTTCTACATAAAACTTAATATCCTAATAGTTTATTTCGAGCAACTAGTTTATTATGAAGAGAGCCGGAAAAGCTTTAACCATTCATTGAACCCATGCCTTATTGAAATCATTAATAATTATGTACACGTATGAAATAGGTAAGGTTCTCAATTAAATAAATAGAAAATTAATTTGTTTCTATTTTAGTATTATTTTATTGATATTCTTAAATGTATACATTATTATAAATTAGGTGCAATTGGAACTTAAGATAAGCCATTCATAATTAAATATTCTTGCCTTAATTTATGTATTTTTAGTGTATCTTTCAAGCTTGATTGAATTAATTTTCACGCAATCTCTTTTTATATTCAAATCAAATTTATATACAATTAATGCTAGTGAAAATTTAAATATCTCAAATGTTGTATTAATATCATGAAATAAATTTATTCATTAATTATTACATAATTCTTAATAATAATGGAATGTAAATATGATCGGAAAAATTAATTTTCGCATTTCATCGTAACTTCGAATTAATAGAAATTGGATCCGAAAGAATATTTTTATACATTAACATGGTAAAGAATCAATGTTTTATTTATGTGCTAAATTCTTGGCAAATATACTGAATTAAAAATAATAATTCATTATTACAATATTATTAATAATAAAAAATATGTACTCTTTAGATTTTCCATTTTATGCATTTATATAATTTTATTTTTTTTATGTTTTTTTGTCATTTTATATGTGTGAAGTTTTGAATTTTTATACATTTTTCATACAAGAATTATTGTAGAAAAATTAATATTACAAAATCATTTATATACGAATATAACTTTAATTAATCTTCTGCTCAAACTTTATATATTCATATGCGCATATATTTTATTTATAAAATTAATTGTTTTTAGATAAATTTTTTTTTTTTAAATTACGCACATTGATAACGTTAGCCTTTAACTATCTCTAAGTAGCATAAAAATTGCATCTTTTACTATTTTGAAATCTTCTAAAATTGTTTTTAATCAATAATTATGATATTTTTATTATTTCATGAAAAAAAAATTAATGAATATATCTATTACGATTGAATATAAACTTATATTCATTTATTAAAATCATCAAATACGACTGACTAATACTTAAAGTTTCACGTTTTATTAAAGTCCTCGACATATAAATTATTCACAATAATATAAGCGGCAATGAAAACATTAACTTTGAAGAAGAAATATTATCGAATATTATAAATTCAAAAATAAAATAATTAACATATTAATGAAATTACAATTTTTCATATAAAAATTTCATATAAAACTTCTTATTTAAATTTGACGAAATAAAAGCATGTAGATTATTTTATTTTTTTTTTTTTATCAAATTTTTACAATTATTTCTATGGATTTTGTAAATAACCAGCAAAGAAATTTCGTAAAAAATATGAAATAAGATACACATATTGTATAATGTTTTAATGCAGAATTATTAATCTTATTTTGCTTTGCATTACGCGGATCTTAGCAACACAAATTATGTAACTAAACGTCATCAATATCGTAATAGCGCAAGATTATTTATAATATTACCATATATACTTGAATAAAAAATTTTGTATCACAATCAATAAATAGAATGTAATTAATATCAAACTAGACGCGAGTAGTATCGTCCGAACATACATATACATTAATGTATAAATAGTACTGCTTATAATTAATCATCTTTATTATTTTATTTTATCTGCAGTATTTTACAATTTTATATGTGCTTGAAGAATAATTGTTTTCGTTAATATTAATGAGATCCAGACATTTAAGTTGATACCCCAATATAATTATCAAATACAAAAATTATACAAGTATTTTAAGTGTTTCAAGATTTAAATTAATATTTATATATTATTTGAAAAAATCTACTTTTTAATATAAATAGATTCGCATTTACTACGGAACGATCAGAGTTTCTAAAGGTGATCATTTCATTTAAGGGATAAATGAATGTATTTATCTATTTTCGTGATAAATAAAGTCTATTATTCTGATCGTGTCATTGATATAAATAAGAAAAAAGTATAATTAATATTGGAAAATCAATGTTTAATTTCTAATTCAATATATATCTCTTGCTTGTTGTAAAATACAACTCTAATATATTACAATGTTCCTATGATACTTTTTGGGTAAAAAAAATACGAATTATAATAAACATATAATTAATACATCGAAAAGGCAAATGCAAATACGGATGTAAGTAAGTTGAACAATAAGTAAAGAAAGCTATATGTACGAAGTATAACAGCAGAAAGCTACAAATACGAAATTAATGTAAAGAAAGATGCATATACAAAGTGTAAGTGAAAAAAACAATATATACGAATTATAAGTAATGAAAGCTACGTATAAGAAATATAAATAAGGAAAGCTATTTATAAATATTGCTAAAAAATATATTACAAATTAATTTCATTTAAATTGAAATTTCTAGAAATATACTAGAAATAATTTTAATTACTTAAAATTTACTTTAAGTTTTAAGAGTAATAGTCGATGTACCCTGAATTCAGCCACTTAACATCTATTCTGTAATTAAAATATCTAACAAATACAATCGTATTAAATTAAATAAAAATATTATACGACAGCCGTCCAGAAAA